ACAAACAAAGTTGCTCAAATTTCCAGCTCACTATGCACTATTCACATGTCATAACCAAAGAATTATCTGCCAAGTGGCATTTACAAATTGGTTCTGCTCTCGACTTCTGATTCAGCTAGCTCAGCTGACACTCCTTTCTTCCTCCGCTTGGGCGAGCCACTCTCCGAAACCGATGATACTGTCGAAACTGAAGAAGAAGCGGGCTCAGGTGAACGCCGCTTAGCTGTCACTTTAACAGGATCCGGCTCATTTGAGCCGGCTTTGTGTGGAAAATTCAACAAGGCCTTGGAGCCACGCATCCTATAAGCTGCTCTGTCATAAGCCAAAGCCGCTTCCTCAGCCTTCTCATATGTTCCAAGCCACACTCTCGCGCCGTTTTTGGCCGGGTCCCTTATTTCCGCCGCGAACTTCCCCCACGGCCGTTGCCTCACACCCCTATAATGCTTCCCTTTCGGCCGTTCAGCCGCTGGCACAACTTTCGCCGCCATCACTGGCTGAGCAGCCACGTATTCCGACCTCACTTCAGCTACGCTTATCTCCTCCCCAACCTCAAACTTCGGCTCCGACTTAACGTCCTTAAACGGCGTCCATCCATCATTAACGGCGTCGCGCAACAGCCCATAAATAACCATGTCTTCAGAGTCATCAACCTTCAACGGCAAGTCACCCCATGTTTCTGTTAAACACGGCATGAGATTGCTGAAGCTCGAGCTCCGGCAATACACCGGCTGAAACTCCCCCGGAAAATTCATTGGCATTAACTCACTCAAAACCGGGTTGTACATGATTTTTTGCACAATATCAAATATGGTTTTTTAAAATCTTGAATTTTCTTGAAATTTAGAGGCCAAAAAGTTGTGAATTTTGAAAGGTAAAGATGCAGTGCGGGTATATATAGGGGTGATATAGAAAAATATAACGGAGGTTCACGCACTAGGAATTTCGATGTTTCCTTGGAATTTCGAAATTGGCAAGTGGAGCAACTTGTATAGAATCACGTGGTTAATAAACAAGGTTAGATTTTAATTGTGGAAGATGAGGGATGCTGACGTCACCATGCGTGGATTCATTCATACGAATGAATTAATTTAACATACGGTTGATGAAGTTTAATAAAAGAAGTGATCCGGTTCTTAAAGAATGTTTTTAATCTTTTCAGCGTCTAATGTTAAATATTGTTACATAATTACAATAGGATAATTAAAGTTATATCAAACTTAGCGGTAGTTAAATCTCAACATCGACCAACGCTCGTTAATTCGATAAATTCCTTCCATATGGCCTCATGTTTCACCTTTATCGCTACCTTTTATAGTTTATTAATGGTGAAAAACAAGTGAAGGAGTACTGGAATTTTTGGGTTGAACTTGAAGTTTTTATTGTTGAAAATGTCATATTAAATCTAGAGTTTATGCTGCTAGCGGTTCTCGAAAATGGGTTGTTAAAAATTGAATAAAATTGTGAGCCCGAAAAAATATATAATTAAAAATGTTATTTAATCAATTAATAAGGAACTAAGAACATTATCGAACATGCAATACGCCATTATTGTCCCTTTTACTCTATCTTGTGCTGCAAGCACTAAATATCTATTTTGAATACGTATCGCATTGGCTGCCGACATTTCCTAAACTATAAAACGTAATAAATTTTATCCAATTGTATTATTCTATTCGAATTAATTTGTTGTTTTCTCGTGATAGTAAGTGGCTAAGAATCTTCAGACGTGGATTTTTATTTAATCAGATATTTTTGAAGCTGATATTCAAATTAAGCTTGTTTTTAATTGGATATTCACAAAGCGTTTGAGAAACGTGTTCTTTTTGTTTAATATTTGATTGGAATATGGGAAAACCATTTGACATTTGTTCATTAATAAAGTTGTGTCTACCATAAAATCCATAGCCTTCTTATGGTGTCATTTCTTTTGGTCCCACAATGATTTTATTGGCGCAAAAACTTTCAAGTTTCACCAAAGGATAAATTTTTATATATAATTTTTTAATTGCACATTTCCTTCGAGTAAAAGTTGCAGTCATTTTTCATCAAGAGTGACACACGATTTAATTAATGACGAATTGAATTTATAATTACTTTGTGTTACTTACTATGTGAAATTAGTCCATTCAAAAACTTAATTTTAAGTATTATAGAGAGAATGAATTTATTTATGTAAATATTCTCACTTCTCATTATCCATAGTTCACATGTTTTCTACATAATATGATATGTAATATTAACTCAAACACAAATCGTGTTATACGACGTGTAAAAAGATGTATATAATCAAGTATGTGCATTCATATATACTTACTAATAAAATACAGACATCGACTTAAATCTTGCTTGTAAGAGAATCCTCTAATTGGTTCTTTCATTCAGAATATTCGAATATCTAGTCTAGCCTCATTGTCACCAGTTTTCATGAAAAAAATTTATATACATGCAATTTTTTATATTTTACAATATCTTGTCTTAATATGAACATAGTATCCTTATCATTTCATGTTGAACTAATTTAAAAAATGAACCACTTGAATTAAAACTTAACAAATAACTGAAACTAAGAGAGAGAACTTTGCCATAAACATTCAACCGTTCATGTAAATGGGAAACAAAGAATTGCTAGCATGAGGGACAATAATGAAAATGACATTAATATTCCTTAAAATTCAATGGCATCCTTTTCTTCATTAGTCCACGTGAATTATATAGTCAAGAAAATGTGGTATTATGTACATTGTCACGTGATTTTCATTTTTTAACCTCTCACGACCAGTATTTTAAAAATGTTGGTCAATCCAATTTTCAAAAAATTACAATGACAATAAATTATTTTGTTGTTGCTGCTAGATACATTGGAAATTTGTACGGTCATCATCCGCTCCACGAAAACATTAAGGAGTATTAATGTTCCCTTTTCACATTTGAATCCTAAATTTAGATCTTTGTATTATTTGAATCTTTATAGACATTAAAAATAATAGTTTAATAACTGATAATTATGTTTTTCACACTTATTTAGGCCACAAAAATGACTTAACTATGAGTAAAATGATTGAATTGTGACTTAATTTTATTACATTTGTGAATTGTAGGGAACACCGATGAACATGGTGAAATTCAGGAGAAAAGATGCGAAAAAGAACTAAAATGACGCAAAGTGAAAGTTCAGGGACCAAAGTGCAATTATTGAAAAGTTGACACAATGAACAAATTAAGAAATTGATTGAGCCAAATGTCAATTGATGATATCTTGGGATGATGGAATGGAAAGAATGAAGAAAAAGTGCCATGAAGTGAAAGATTAAGTAGAGGGACCAAATTAGAGAAAATGAAAGTTAGAGTCAACCATGTGGCCGCATGGTAGAACTCTCGTGCAGTTGCATGAACGAGTGCAGGGAATTCTGAAGACAGCATGACATAACCATGCGACCGCACGGATTAAAGCCATGCGATCGCATGGTAGGTTTCCGACGCTAAAATTTTACTTTCCTTATACGATTGAAACTCTTTTGGTAACCTAATTTTCACGCGATATGAATACCAAAAGACGTCCAGAAAGAGGGGAACGGAATTGGAGGCAAAAAAATACTTCGTGGAGAGGATTTTGAGCGCAAGAACGAAGATTGACACGGAGAGCTTCAAGATTTCATAATCCGATGATACCTTTTATTCAAAATCTGATGTATTTTATTATTTTAACTATGTTAGGCTAGATTCTCATGTGTTAGGAGATCGATGTACCATGTAGTTAGATCTTTAATTTTCTAGTTTTGAAATTTGACGATAAGATATAATTCTATTGTTTTGAATGATTTATCTTCAATTATTGTTTCCGCAATTAAGGGTCCGTAATTGTGTGAGTTTAGGTGATTTATTCTTGCATTCGAGAGAATTGAAATATATTCGACATAATATAAATCATCGTAGGGTCCAATAAGGGATAGAAATATACCCTTATACCCTACGTGAATCTTTAAATGTTCATAAAACTGCATGTATTTTTACATATGCACTTGCCATAGAAATATAGGTCGGTGGTAAGTAGAAATAGATTCGATACATCTCGAAAGAGAGTATTGAATAGATTTAGGAACATTGATTCGTCAACAATTGAAGTGTGTTGTCATATTGTGAAATTAGGGTTTAAAGTGATAATTGCATGAGAAATTGATGTAGATTGAATCTACAAACACACGACAACAATAACCAAACAGATTAAATTCAGAAACAAACTTTTATTATTTCGTGAACAACCAAGAAAACCCTAGGAGGCATCTTGTAACGTCTTAAATATGAAAGAAAAGATAACCTACTGGGCCAGCAGTCCCAAAATGGGCTGGGCTACAAAATGGAAATAACAAATGCNATGAAAGAAAAGATAACCTACTGGGCCAGCAGTCCCAAAATGGGCTGGGCTACAAAATGGAAATAACAAATGCTGAAAATAAAGAACACAAAAACCTAAAATGCTGTTTTGACACACTAAACGACTTCAAATAGCCAAAAACCCTCGTACGTCACGGCAAAGCTATGAGTTCAATCCGAAACGCTCGCTACCTTTCCGAAATGGGGTTATGGGCCCAAAACGGACACCAAACGCAAAAATTACATCAATTTCTTTGAAAGTCGACCATCCAACCGTTCCATGTATGCCAATGCCTGTTCCTCCACATAAACCTCATCATTCTCCCCGGGATCAATGGGATTCGCCCTCGAATTAGAACCGGTAGCACTATCTCCCACGTTGTCTCCATGGTATGGCAAAAGATGTTTTACATTAAACACATCAGAAGTCTGTATATGGGAAGGAAGTCGAAGGCGATAGGCGTTGGGGTTGATCTTCTCCACAATTTCCACTGGACCAATGGTACGAGGTGATAACTTCGAATGCTTATGAGATGGCACTCGATCCTTAGTCAGTACCGCCCAAACATAATCCCCAACGTCAAACTCAACAGGACGTCGATGCCGATCAACCGCCTCTTTATACTTACGGTTGGACTCTAGCAGATTAGCTCGTGTTTCCTCATGAACTTGTTGCAAACTACGAACAAAGTCAACAGCTGTCCATGCAGCCGAGTCTTAGAGGGCAAAGTCAATAAATCAACAGGGCTGCGGGGCAGAATACTATGCACAACCTGGAACGGACTGAAATCGGTGTTTCTATTTCTAGCATGATTATACGCAAACTCTGCCTGGCTAAGCCGCTGATCCCATGAGCGTAGGTTATCCCCAACCAAGCACCGCAACAAGTCACCCAAAGAACGATTAACTACCTCTGTTTGCCCATCAGTTTGAGGGTGATAAGCACTACTAAAATTGAGCGACGTGTTAACTGACTTCCATAAACTCCGCCAAAAGTGATCGATGAACCTCGTGTTTCTGTCAGACACGATGGAAGTGGGCAACCCATGCAATCGATAAATCTCTCAGAAAAATAGCTGAGAAACCTTGACAGCATCAGTAGTGCGCTTGCAGGGAATGAAGTGCACCATTTTAGAAAAATGATCTACCACCACAAAGATGGAATTATTACCACGTTGTGTGCGCGGTAAACCCAGGACAAAATCCATGCTAATATCAGTCCACGGAGCTGAAGGCACTGGTAAGGGTCGATAAAGACCAACGTTTGTGGCTTTCCTCTTTGCCACGTGGCATACCCTGCATCGTGAGACAAACTTCTCCACTTCACGATGCATAGTAGGCCAGAAAAATGAAGCGCTAATCAAAGCCAAAGTACGATCTCGCCCAACATGACCTTCACCATGAAACTCCTCAATCAATTTTAGACGAAGGCTGTAATCTAGTATACACAACTGAACACCTCTAAACATATACCCATCCTCTAACAGAAAAGAGGAATGGGGTCCCTGCAGTAAACTGTGATAGATGGCGCCAAAATAAGGGTCATCAGCATAAAGAGAGACAAAGGTCTCAAACCG